GGGAGCCTTGAGGTGTTTATCACAACTAACAGGCAAACGTTTGAGTGGCTTTCTACAATGGACTGACTGCCATAGTCCTCATCATTATAATTCGAGGGGCTGGATAGATGGCAGTTGAAAAAACTGGATGCTGGTGCAGAGGACCAGGGTTTGATTCCCAGCACCCATATGGCAGCTAACAACCACCTATAACTCCAGTTCCAGGGGATCCGACACCCTCCTCTGCTCTCTGCACGGCATTGAATGCATGGGGTGCATTAACATACATGTAGGCAAAACACTCGAATACATAAAATAATAAGAATAATAAATAAAATTTTTAATTAAAATTCTGAAGCAATAATCTCAACGTGATACTATTTGGGTAGTGTTGTCTTTGGGAGGTAATAAGGACCCAAAGGTGGATCCTTTATAGATGAGACTGGTGTTCTTATAGGACTCTCCCACCACATCCCATACAGGGTAAGAATTTAAGAAGGTAAGAACCTAAAATTTATAAGACAGCTCCAATCAGAAAGGTCAAGCTGGCATCTAAGCTTTGTCGCAGAACTGGACAGATGAATTGTTATTCTTTATCAGCCAGTCAGCCTACAGCAATGTCTTACAGCACCCTGAACTGAGACAGCTTGTACCGAAGCTCACTTACAGCTCCATTCCCACCAAGGGTCTCTCAGGGTATCTCAGGAAAGCTAAGCTTTTCCTATTGAGGAAGGGCTAAAGAACCAGTGAAATCTGGGGCTAACGCTGCTAAATTTATATACCTACATCCACAGATGCAGGAATATATTTGATTTGTGTTTCTTAATGGAGAGAAAATATAAAGGCAGACATCAGAGCTATAAAGTGAAAACTCAAATATTTAGCATATACACATGAACAAAGAAGGAAGTGATGTCAAAAACAGTTATTTCCAAAAGGTATAATCATCATTTTTCTGTATATATTTCCTACATTAAAATTTTCTCTTAAAATGTTCTGACACGATGCTTTTTAATTATGTGAATAGAAGTTGATACACATAAAAATATAAATCATAAATATATTTATAAGCAAAAGTAATTTTTAAGTGATTCAGATCTTTAAAGGAGTCATAAAGCTCAGTTATTGCTTTGTCTTTTCTTTTGTTTTTGTTCGGAGTATTGAACCCAGGCCCCAACACATGCTATGTACCTAAACTCTCCACCACTGAGCTTCACTCCAAACCCATCTTGCTTTTGTGGTTACACATACAAACATGCTAAGGACCCAGGGGAGGGGGACAGGTGCTCAGGAGGATGAGGGGGACAGCACCTCGGGGATGCCCAGGAGGTGGGCATGGTGGGTTTACCTTCCGCCCTCTCCAGGGATCTCCCGCTCTTACTGGCTGTAGTACTGTTGACTGTCTCAGATGAAGTGCTAAGCTTGGTGCTGGGGTCCCGTTTGGGCTTGGGGGGCGGCTGTCTCCTGGATCCACAGTTGCTGTCATCCTCCGTGCCCCCAACAGAGTGTAGGGACTGAGATCTCACGGTGAATCCGCTGGAGCAGGGATGTGGAAGTCTGTCTTGAGGAGCAGGCATAGTCATGAACCCCATGCGGAAGTGCTTGCCCACGTAGCTGGAGTCCTGGCCTCGCCCTACTTCTCCACCGATGCTGTAAGAGAAAGCAGACACCATTAGTGAGCAGGAAACTAGCCAAGACGTGTGAATCATAGGTATCAGGAGCCGTGGATCATAAGTGACACTTGGAGGTAGTAAAGAAATACATCGCTTTATAAGGGGTTGAGTTTCAGAGCATTCATAAGTGGCATGAAAGCATTGTATACTTTTGAATCAAATTATAAAAGTAAATCCAAAACAGTTTGACTATAATCAGAAATTTCGCTCAGGAAGTTTAACACATATTTGCCGGTATCTTGGTCTCCAGATGAGCTTAGTATCCCAAGGGGAAAAATATTGCATAACACATCTTATCTTCAATTACTTAAAAAATAATCTTTGAGGTAAATCCTACCCATGGCTTAAAAAGTAAAAAAGAATTTGGTGACTATCGTTCCTAGACCAACTCGGGAATAGTGACTGTGTCCCCTCGGTCAGCACTTTGATCTTTTTTTATCAAAAACCATCTTTAAGATGCCTGCTTAACATGTTGGAGAAAATAACATAAGCAGTATCCATAAAAGTTCCGCTAACAATCATCAGCAAGGGAAGAAGAGAGACAAAGTTAGAGGCTGGGGAAGAAGAGAGGGAACAGGAAGGAAGGAAAGGAGGGGGGAGGGAGGGAGGG